AACGAAGAGAGCGAGACGAGATGAGAGGAGAAGAGAGAGAGAGAGAGAGAGAGAGTAAACAGAAAAGCCGGAAATTAATAAAGTCATTCAATATAGGTACTAGATCATTTATGCCTTAATCGTTAAAGCATCTATTCGGCCTGTTATTAACTCTAAGCTACTTGGTCAACCCACTATTTTGTATCTGTCAACATTAACTCAATTCTCACCATTTCGTCGAGGATTTCCAAGTACTGCTTGAGGAACGCGTCATCGTGAGTGTAATGTTTACCGAACACGAGACTACAGATGATTGTCGACACTCCGACCATCAGGTGGTTATGTACTTCAAAGCCATTCACGTGTCCTCGTGCTCAAATATGTCCAAGACACGTTCACCTCGTGTAAAAAATAAATACATAAATAAATAAATAAATAAATAAATAAATAAATAAATAAATAAATAAATAAATAAATATATATATATACGAACGTTTTTATTTAACAGATGCAAGAACGAATACACGTTTTTATCGAAATTAGTTAAACGCTTAATTCAATCGTATATGATATCTACGCCACGAGTAAATAGCCTGCTGGGCCATATGAATCTATTAGACAAAAACTATTAAGTAAATCCAAGTTGATACTACTTTATACACGAAGATTGATTTATCTGACAGATTAAGATAATAATTTTATACAATCATTGGCAACTTGAACTGACTGTTCTGTCATATATAATTATAATACATATAACTATAAGTCATATATATTTATACTATAACATATACATACATATAATAAATTAGATATCTATAGCATACAATAGCATTATATATATTAATATAATATACATACATTAATACATATATCATACATAACAGTTATCATATGATTATCAAATTAATACTATTACATCCATTAATCATATATATACATACATAATACATACTATACATTAATTATCATATATATACATACATACATTATACAATACTATAACAATACAATATCTTATTAATCCTGCAAATATTCACACTCACAGTACTAACATCACAAACTTTAATGCAATGACTCACAAATACGTTAGCGTCAAAGTTATAACCGCCATCTGCTCACCAGAGAGAAAGTTACCAAATCCTGCATATCATTTGCCCAGCGCAATAAGTACGATTATGTATACCGTTAGCAAGCGACTCGAATGTTCTTCCCTTCCACGTGAGGATAGGTCCTTTATAGTGTAAAATAACTACACCTAATAACTTAAGTAAATCATTCATAGGATATACGATGACAGATATATATTGTACAGATATTTTAATTGCTTTTCTAAAAATGTTATATGAATTTAAGTGTCCATTAATACTCGTGGTAATATGACATTAATAGTATATCATTATAATATATTTATGGATTATATATACGGTATATATATTATTTATCAGTTAAGAGAGGAGAGAGAGGAGGAGATACGAGAGAAGGTGAGAGTAGCGATAGTGTATAGATAGATCAGATAGAATTAGATAAGAGTATTGAACATACAGTAATTGAGGAGAAGACGCGACTAAGGTCAAACACAATGGTATATGTGTTCTATTGACTCTCTTCCTGATGAGTGAAATTGACTCAAGGATCTAACGATGACGCCACCCACAATCTAATAAGAGAGCACAGCAAAGTGGACAAGCACAACGCAGAGAGAGAGAGACGATAGAGAGAGATAGAGAGCGATTAGAGAGAGAGAGAGGACAGGAGAGAGAGATTCTGGAGAGAGAGAAAGGAGGACGAGAGAAAGAGAGAAAGGACAGAGGAGAGAGAGCAGAAGATGAGAGAGACGAGAGATGTGAGAGGAGAGAGACCGTGAGAGCAAGACGAGAGGCGAGAGGCAAGGAGCGAGGAGGAGAGAGAGAGACTCCTGAGAGAGGAGATGAGAGGGACGAGAGACGAGAGAGAGAGCAGAGTAGCAGTTTCGATACCGACATCTCTGTGTACACGCACAGCCTAGTACAGTTTATTCCAACGTATCGCGCCTTGACGGACACAGCCAGACTTAAGATGCCCCCTATCATTACTACATAGATATAACCAGATATATAATACAGCTTGTAAGCACTCAAAGAATGCCCACCATTCGAACCCTTGTTGATCAGCGAATCGCAGAAGTTTCCACCCCGTTGAATTCACCGATTACAGGCAAAGCAGCGGTAATCGTTAAGGATGGGGCACTAGAATGAAGCGCCCTCACCGTTCTTTCAGGTCTATCGGAACCAGTTTAGTTTACCGATGGCCGTGGTCGGGTCGCCCGAGCAATCCTCCCTTACGAGGCTCTTTGATCAATTTCAGGCTCAGATAAGCGACGGCCAGAGTGTTTGCCCATTTGAATGTGAAAATATTCCTCCATCACGTGCTTTGTCCCAGTTCCTGGATGAAACAAGCATACCGAGAGTTTAGATCCAGCGGGATAAAATACGGCCGAGTAAATAAGGGCCAGTATAATATATATCCTGTTATATAATATATATGATGATATGATATATTTAATATATATTATATCTATATATATATATAGTATATACATGGTATAATATGGGCTGCGCGTCAGCCGTGCGTCGTGTGTGTGCGCCGTAGTGGGTTGTGGGCTGTGTCGGTGTGTCGTGCGTTGCGTGCCGTGCGGTGCGTGCGGGCGTGGTGTGTGTGTGTGTGTGGGTCTGTGTGTGTGTGTGTGTGTGCGTGTGGGTTGGTTCCTGTTAAAGTCATTATATCACACCCTGTTGCCGTCCATTTTGTTCGCTTCTGCCCACCCAATTCCGTTCTATTCGGTTCTATTCCGCCCTACCCTATTTCATTCTATTCTACTCTCTTTTGCCCCACCCCATCCCCATGCTCTGTTCTGTCGTCGATCGAACTGTCGCCGATGTATCACACCAATCACCCCGCACCTGCGCACGACGAACTGCGTCATCGATTAGCTATTTCATCGATAATCGCGTACGTACGAAGCCGATAAATCGAATCCGGGATAACTGGGTCGGTCAGCGAGATTGTGGAGCGCGGGGATTGGTGGTCCGAGGCGAAGACAAGCGCAACGGACGAACTGCAGGTGTTAGAGCGAGCGAGAAAGAACGACAAAGAGAGAGAGCGAGAGAGAGAGAGTGATAGGGGAAGTGAAGATAAGGAGAGGCGATATAACGTGGTAAGTGCACACACACACACACACAGACACAGACGGGGAGCGAGCGGCGAGGATTTGCATAGCCGAGAACACGTGAGTTGAGTTTTACTTATTCGGATGAAATTTCTGCGTTACGGTTAGACTTATAGTTGCTGTTCGTTGTCGTGCTGGTTATGTTCTATTCCGATATAGTTATATATTTATGTGTCAGTGCGCGGCAGCCTACCAGCCAGCCTGCAATAATAGGCGAAAGAGAGTAGAGAAACATTAAGACTGGTAGTAAATAGACACGCAGGCAATGAGGCAGAGACGAGTAAGGGCACGCACACAACCACGTACACAACCACGTACACAACCACAACCACGTACACAACCACGTACACAACCACGTACGCAACCACGTACACAACCACGTACGCAACCACGTACACAACCACGTACACAACCACGTACACAACCACGTCCG